CAGAAAACTTCAGGCAGAATATTTGACTTTCAGTAGAAAAGTAATGGGGGACCCTACAATAAATTAAAAATTTAAATAATGTTTGATTATGAATGGAAATTGATTGCTGCTTCAAAGTCTCACTCTCCTTAACCACATTCAAAACTGGACACGAAAGCTAGTGAAATGGAACAAAACTTTAGCCAAAATTTCCACAGGTTTTTTTCCCTCCTTGGAACTTGACAAAGAGATATAAAATATATGAGAGTACAGAAGAAGGGCTAAAATAGTCAAGATAATTTAAAAGGAGAGATACAATACATTTTCTAAGCTTATATAAATATTTATTATAAACTGCAAGTAATACAAAATGATAAACAATAAAGTCAATGTGCTTTATTTTAGGAATGATAAATAGACTGACATGGTTGAATAGGGAGTAGAAATAGTTGAATCATGGGGGGAAATTTGATGTTTGGCAGATGCAGTGTTTTCCACCAGTGGAAAAGGATGTGGTTTTGATCAAATGATGTAGAGTTAGATTTCAAATAAGAAGGGAAAAAAATGAATGCCCATGTCTCTAATGAGCTAAATTTAGTTCAATCTAGACTGAAGATGTAAATGAGATAGCAGCAATTTAGAGTGTTTTGGAGCATTGTAAAGACTATTTTTTTTAATGAATCACAGGTCTAAATTTTTAGTGATAAGAATCCCAATATTAGGGTTGTATAATAGTTTTTACTATCATAATATCTTTGTTATTTTTATTCTTGAACTAGTTGTTTGTATTTTGTGGATCCAGAGCATCAGTGGGTTACATTTATTCTGTGAGTGGCTATTTTAGTTCAAAAGAATCAATGATATTACTTCATTTAAGTCGCATATGTTAAAGCAAAATTTAAAACTATTCTTTAAAAATTGGAAGCAGGAACCAAAAAGCAAACTCAACTGATTGTGAGGAAAACTCTTAAAACATTAAATTTTTAACATTTTTTATCATTTTTTATTTCAAATATTTTTTTTCCTTTATTAGATGAAAACTGGTCTTAGGAAGTGTATTAGGATGTGATAAAGTATATTTATGACAAGGAGTTGGAGCTGGTATTTGCCTCTTGTAAACTGGTAAATTAAGTCACTTGCATTTGATGTTAGAGTGCCTGGGTTTAATGCTCAGCTCTGGCTTCTGATTCCAGCTGCTTGATAGCATGGACCACGGGAGGCAGCAGGGATGGCTCACTTACTGCTGTCCTGTTGCCCACCTGAGAGACTTCAGTTAAGTTCCCAGCTCCCATGATGGGCTTGGGAAGTGAGATAGTGGATAGTGGCTCTATTTCTTTCCTCCTGCCCACCTCTATCTCTCCGTCTTTTCTCTTTGCCTCTCAAATAAACTAATTAATTAAATTTTATTACAAAGAATTCACTCCTTTAATTATGAGGGCTGGGAAGTCCAAAATCTGCACAGGTGATGTGTCAGTCTGAATCCTAACACTGCAAGCTGTTATAGAGCCAGGAGGAATTAGTGTTCTAATACGGAGGCTATCAAGCTACAATAATCACTTACTCAGAGAAAGGTCAGCCCTTTGTTCTAGTCAGGCCTTCAACTCATTGGATAGGTCCCAACTACATAATGGAAGGCAATCTGTTTTAAAAATAATACAATGCAACCAATATAGGATTAATGCCCAGAATTTATTGGTAACTCAAGAAAATCATCAACACTAACAACAAAAATTCATTTAAGAAATGGACAAAGGAGAATAACCCTTTTCAAAGGATGGCATTCAAATAAGTGTGAAACACATGAAAAAAAAAAAAATGTGCAGGATTGCTAGCCATCAGGAAAATGTAAATAAAAACCACAATGAGGTTTCATTTCTCCTTAAAATTGCTATCATCCAAGAATCAGAAACCAAAGAATGCTTGGAGAAAATGTATGGCAAAGTGTCCCTTAAACCACTGTCAGCAGGAATTTAAACAAGTGGAACCAATATGGAAGACAATATGGAGATTCCTCAGAAATCTGAAAATAGGTCTACCATATGATCCAGTCATCCCCTCCCTGGGAATTTACACAGACAAAATTACGCCAGCACATGAAAGAGCTATCTGGACCCCATGTTTATTCAAGCTCAGTTCACAAAAGCTAAGATGGAATCAACACAGATGTCCACCAACTGTTGCCCGAACAAGGAACATGTGGCATATACACATTATGAAGTATTACTCAGCCATAAATGCTGTATTTTTCAACAAAATAGATGTAATACACACTGCTATCATCAGTGAAGTAAGCCAATCCACCAAGATAAATATATTTTCTCTGATACGTAGCAATTAGCATAGAGTAAAACAAATGTATGGAGATGAAATGGGATATACTGTGACATGATTGGTGTTTTAGCTCTTGTATGTATGTGTGTGTGTGTGTGTGTGTATATCCTGTGGAACTGTATCTTTCCTACTTTTGTCTTGTTCAGGAGTGAATTAAGCCTGTGATTATGGAGGGAATTGAAATGCAAAAGCTAAAAAGGGAAAAGAAAGGAAGAGGTGGATTAGGCATAGGAGGGAAATATGAGTATCTTTTTCAAACTGACCCTACAAAATACATGAAAGTTTTTCTCTTTATAGTAATAAATTTTCTTAAATGTCAAAGGAGATACAGAGAGAAATAGAGAACAAGAGTGAGAAAGTGGGGAGAGAGAGTGATCTCATTTGTACCGTGCCAGGCTGAAGCCAGGAACCATGAGTTTCATCAGGGTCTCTTATGTGAATGATAGGATTCCAGGTCCTTGACCACTTGACCTTTGTCATGTGCATAATCAAAGAACTGGATTGTAAGCAGAAGAATCACAACATGAACTGATATGCCAATGCGATAACTGTGGTCCAGGTGGTTAACTTTACCAGCTATGCCACAATATTAGCCTTCATAATATGTTTAATATTATAATTTTCTCAGAGAAAACATGATGATATATGGTCTTTCTCTTTCTTAAGACCTATTTATCTTCATTGAAAAAGCAGATCTGATTTTTGGAGAGGAGAAACAGAAAAATTTTCCAATCGCTGCTTCTCTCCTTTTGGCTGCAAGGGCCCAAGCTGAGCCGAAACAAAGCCAGGAGCCAGAAGCTTCTTCCAGGTCTCCTGTGCAGGTGGCTTTGGGCCATCCTCTACTACTTTCTCAGATTTTTAAGCAGGCAGTTGGATGGGGAGCTGGGACATTCAGGACAAGAACCTGCATCCAAAGGGGATCCTGGCATTTGCAAGGTGAGGACTTACCCATTGGGCCACTGAGCCATACCCCACATGACTCTCTTTTAAAAGAATTATTATTTTCAGGCTCGGCACGATAGCGTAATGGTTAAAGTCCCAGCCTGCCTGCACCAGAATCCCATATGGGTGCGAGTTCTAATCCTGGTGGCCCCCGCTTCCTGCTTCCCATCCAGTTCCTTGTTTGTGGCCTGGGAAAGCAGTTGAGGACGGTCCAAAGCCTTGGGTTCCTGCACTCACATGGGAGACCTGAAAGAAGTTCCTGGCTCCTTACTTCAGATTGGTCCAGCTTGAGCCCTTGTGGCCACTTGGGGAGTGAACCATCAGATGAAAAATTTGCTTCTCTGTGTCTCCACCTCTTTGTATATCTGCCTTTCCAATAAAAATAAATAAATCTTTTTAAAAATGTTACTATTTTCCGTGATATGATCTTATACAGATACCCCCATTCAATCCCTCTTCCTCCCTCTCCACTGTCTTGCTTCCCACCACACTGTTTTATCTCATATTATTACAGTAACTGTTAATGATGAGCTATTGTTTTATAGTCTTTGGTTTCAGAAATGCATAATTTTGTGTTCATTTGACGATATAAAGATAGCAGATATAAGTGTTCTGTTCATGTGATAAGAGTAACGAAGGAAAGGAGTGTTTTGTAATGAGTTTTTTTTTTTGTCATTTGTTTCAAACAACCTAATAGTATCATTAGTACAGTTATTTGTAGGTATCTTTAACATTTTAGTAACTTAAATGCATAATTGATATGTTTATCTATAGATTGATGCATTGAATAACAATAATTTCCTAATGTTTTTGGAAGATTTACCCTAAGAACTATACTCCTGAACAAATCTAGGACAGTAAGGTTACTTTAAATATTGTTTGATTAATTAAGAAAAATGGCTGTCATGGCCTACAACATTATAATTTTTCCTTACTGATACATATGGATAGTTCTGAGTGACCCTTGCTTATACAAGAAAAGAATGTTAATGAATTATGGGAATAGGCACTAAATTTAATGCGCTGATTCTGTATGATAATGTTCACAGTTTCCACTGTACCGAATAGGGCAATAAAATACTAACCTGTAGTTAATTTTTTATTTCTTTAAATGTAAAAAGTAAATTGTATGTCTAGTATGCAGAGAATGATTTTGATACAATGTAGGATAGTCCCTGGAAACTATTTTGAAGGGTTCTTTCCTTTTTTTTGCAGTCTTCCTGTCACCCCACTTTTTTTTTCAAAAAAGTATCTTTATATTTGGGGAAGAGTTCTTTTCCCTTCACTTTCTCAATGATGCCTTTGGATGAAATAGAATATATGCTTTTCTTTGGGGGTTGGCATTAGTATACAACCTTGCTGATACACTGATTATATTGAGGAAAGGTGCCTGTTCCTATTCAGGGAACATGAAGGGAAATGATCTCAGGACATGTACAGCAGCTGTAGTTTCTCTTGTTACTGAGTTCCTTCATTGGAGGATGTGCTATCTGGAATTGCTGTTAACATTTGCTAAAATTACAAGAGATCTTGCAACTCCCAGTGGGCTACCAGGGGAGCACGGGGAAGCATTCAAAAGAGAAGCAGAGTAGAAAGAACATGAAAATCAACGCCCTTGGAGGTCTCATTTGAGGTATCAGATCAAATCATGTTTTTACTTTCAGTAGCTAAATCAATATTCATTTTATGGGTTAAATCATTGGAAGCTTAGAGCTTTGTTTTATTTTGCTTTTTGTCACTAGCTCCTGAGACGTTCCTATTGCAAATCCTGGATATTTTGACTCTGCGAGATTGAAGTAACAAACGTCCTGATTCTTATTCAATGATTTCTTGGTTGCAAAGACAGCAGAGCAACAAAGTAATTAAATACTGGGAAGATTACTGGAAGTGGAATAATTTCTTTTTTTTTTTTTACCAGAACTAATGGGACCTCAAACTCTCTCTCTTATCTCTTTTTCTCTCTCCCCTGCTCTCTTTCTCATCATTACCATCTGTACATGCTCATATTGTCACTGATCTTGGCCTTTTATTTTGGTACTTGAATACAGTAGGTTTATATATATATTCGTGACCTTTATTTAAACTTTCTACTGCAAACTGTATCTCCCAAGTGTCTTTTTCCTGATGTTGCATCTTCCAATAATTTTGTTTTTTTTAAGATTTATTTTATTCTTATTGGAAAGGCAGATATACAGAGAGGAGAGACAGAGAGGAAGATCTTCCGTCCGATGATTCACTCCCCAAGTGAGTGCAATGGCCGATGCTATGCCCATCCGAAGCCAGGAACCTCTTCCGGGTCTCCCACGCGGGTGCAGGGTCCCAAAGCTTTGGGCCATCCTCGACTGCTTTCTCGGGCCACAGGCAGGGAGCTGGAAGGGAAGCGGGGCTGCCGGGATAGAACTGGTGCCCATATGGGATCCTGGTGCAAGGCAAGGACCGTAACCACTTGTGCCATCATGCCGGGCCTGTAGGAACTCGTTTTTGCAAGAATAATTGTGACTGTCCATTCCTGTCCTACCTGCAAAATATTTCAAGTCTAAGCTTGAGTCATCTGTTAGGCTTGTGTGAGCTTCCATAGACCTCTTGTTGCCAAGGTCACATTAAATGACCATGAGTATGAAAGACCATCATGCACACGGAAAGAGAAGCTTGTGCACAGACCAACCTGGAACACCTCATAGGTTGCCAGATATGCTTATTTTGCTTCCCAAACACAATCCCAGCAAGAAATGTGTTTCTTTGTTTATAGCATTCATTTTATACAATATACAACTAATTATCTTTCACTGTGAGAAAGATATCCTGACACTCCTTGGATTATTTATTTTTTTCCAAAATTTATTTATTTTCATTGGAAAGGCAGATTTTATAGAGAGGAGGATAGACAGAAGATCTACCATCTAATGGTTCACTCCCCAAGCGGCCACAACAGCTAGAGCTGCACTGATCCAAAGATAGGAGCCCAGAGCCTCGTGCAGGTCTACCACATGGGTGCAGGGTTCGAGGGCCCTGGACCATCCTTGACTGCTTTTCCAGGCCACAAGCAGGGAGATAAATAGGAAGTGGTGCCGCCGGGTTTAGAACCGGCACCCCTATGGGATCTCACCACCTGCAAGGCAAGGACTTTAGCCACTAGGCTGCATTGCTGGGCCTGACAGTTCCTGGATTATTGAGCCTTCCAGAATAAGACATTTTTCTGATTTGCTTCCTACTTACTGGCATTTGTATCTCACTAACAAATCTGGTGTGGTTGCTAGTTAGCAAAATGTCACAAACATAATGGACCATGAACATATTTTGCAGGATACCCAATGACCAAGGGGCTTCAAATGTATTTTGACACCACTGGAGAGGTGACACAGCCATTAGCCAAGATGGTTAAGATTCTGAGTTGTCTTTTGGAGGCAAATGCATATTGATTATTTTTGCTGAAAAATAGAGAAAATAAAATCAAGAATCTACTAGATCAATAGCTGCACTGTATTTGCTAGGAATTGGACTGACTTGTTTTATTAAAGATATCACATCAAGAAACCTAATTGTGATTGGTATCTCCACCTAATTAATTTTGCAATTATCTGCTTTCATTTTCCATGAGCCATTTGGTTTGTGAGTTAGAAACACTGCTATAAGAAATTGGGATATTATAGACATTATAGGAATATTTAAAGTCTGATGATTTTACTAACCTTTGTAATTATTCTGGAAATGCAGAAGTGGTTTGGGTTTACCTTTCTTATTAGCTTTTGAAGAATGTCAGGCATTCTATGGATTTTGGATTTTTTTTTTTTATATTTTCTGCCTTCAATGATATGAGTAGGTGCTTCAAATTTTTTATATTGAAATTCAACAACCAATGTGATTATATTAAGGGCTGGGGCATTTGGAAGGTGATGAAGTCATGAGGGCTTTTTCATCCTGAATGGGATTAGTGCTTTTATAAAAGAGACTTGAAGGATCTGCTTTTCTGTCTGCCATCTGAGGAAACACCTAGATTATGGCGTCTTACGTGAAGAGGGCAGGACTCGGTGGTTAGTGGAGTTGATAAACCTCTCGCATCCTTCATCAGTGGCTGCTTGAGTTGCAGCTCCTCCATGTCTCATTCCAGTTTCCTGATGATGTGCATCCTGGGAAGCAACAGATTACAGTTCAGTTATTTTGGGGGAGGGCACTGCCACATACCTAGGAGACCCAGCTCACAGTTTTGGCTGTTGGCTAATGCCTGCCCTAGCCTTAGCAGATGTGGGCATTTGGGGGAGTGAACTGGTAAGTGGGAGCTATGAAAAATTGAAAAACAGAATGGAGCAAATACTAGATCATGAATCTTACTGTTCTTTAATCATGAACTTTCCAGTCTACAGTGTTATTAGTAGTAAATTACTACTGGGTCCAAACCACTAGCCTAGTGGCTTAAGTCCTCGCATTGTCCTGCTTGGGTTCCCAAATGAGACCAGTTTATGTCCTGGTTACTCCACTTCTCTTTTGGAAACCTGTTTGTGGCCTATGAAAGTAGTAGAGGATTACCCAAAGCCCTGGGACCCTGCAATAGTGTGGGAGACCCAGGAAAAGTTTCTGGCTCTTGTCTTCAGATCAGTTCATTTCTGGCTGCTGGGACCACTTGGGGGGTGGAAGATCTTTCTCTCTGTCTCTCTTCTCTCTGTAAATCTTACTTTCCAATAAAAATGAATAAAATCTTTTTTAAATAATAATACATTACTGCTACTTACACATTATCTAGATGAACGTATTTCATTTTCTAGCGTGAATGAGTATGATGCTATTATAATAGGTTTCATTCAGGAATTCCAATACTTTCCTAATAGCACTCAGATTTTAGTGTGACATATTTGAGCATTTACTCTGAACTGACATTCAGTTACTCATAAAAATATGGCTTTGGGCTTGGTCTGCTGCCATGTCTTACTTGCGTCTACAGGAAAAATAATAAACCCTTCAAAACTGACATGAAAGTTTGAAAATTCTCAGCTCAAAATCTGCATTGGAATGTCATGATCTTCAATCTGATTCCTGGGTCATTTCTGTGGGTCAGCTGAAACATCTTCCTGATCTCCTGATCTTTATAATAATTGTTTTCAAAGTTTTTGTGTCACTTGGTACTCTCTGCTATGTGATCCTTGAGGAATCACAGGGATTGTAAAGTGGGAGTGTTTCTGCTGCTCCAAGGCTTACTCAGGCAAGGGCAGGGGACACTTACTATGCCTGGGAAGGTAACTGTAGACAAGGCAGCTAACTGGAGTAAATGCCTTGAGAAAAGGGACGCAACCTCCCACCTGAACATAACAGAGTGAAAACAAGAAAAGCAAATGCCTGCGCTAATCCCTCTTCCATTCTAAAACAACCTACTCCTAACCCAAAGCAGAGGTTCTGAGAACCTTTTTTAAAAAAAATCCATGTTAGACTGCACAGAGCAGGGCAGGGTGAATGTATAAAGGCAAAAATCAGGTATCTATCATGCCTCCCAACGGTTAATCAAGCTCAACTCCTTTCTGTTTCCTCAATCACACAATAGTTCCTTAAGACAGAATTATATAGCAACTGTCTTTATTCTTAACACAGGATTGCTATTGCATCTCCATTCCCCCACCCCCAGGTTTTATTGTCCTTTGGCTGAATTTGCAGGTTAGTTTATGAAATAACTCATTTTTTTTTCATATATCAGTTTTCCACAGTCCTGTTATAGCAACTCCTGGATATCATACCTATAGTAGTTATTTAGTAAAAATTTATTTATTTATTTTTAAAGATTTATTTATTTATTGGAAAGTCAGATATACAGAGAGGAGGAGAGACAGAGAGGAAGATCTTCCATCCGATGATTCACTCCCCAAGTGAGCGCAATGGCCGATGCTGTGCCGATTCGAAGCCAGGTGCCAGGAACTTGTTCTGGACATCAGACATGGGTGCAGCGTCCCAAGGCTTTGGGCCGTCCTAGACTGCTTTCCCAGGCCACAAGCAGGGAGCTGGATGGGAAGCGGAGCTGCTGGGATTAGAACCGGTGCCCATATGGGATCCCAGTGTGTTCAAGGCAAGGACTCTAGCTGCTAGGCCACCATGCTGGGCCCATGATTTCAGTCATAATGACCTGGTAAGCGTTTCTGTAAGAATGCTTAAGTGCTTCTGGAATTTTGAATTACAGATACTTGATCCAGCATAAGAAACATGGAAGGACACATGGACTAAGACGGAGCCTGAGAATGAGACTGTAGCGTGTGACAAACAGGATGCTGAATGCTGACATTTAGGACCGCAAAAACAGTAAGCAAATAATTATAATTCCATTGTATAGATTTGAACATGGAGGCTTAAAGACCTCAAATGATAGATGTCTGTCAGTACACTGAAAGATGAAAACATTTCCTCTCTGTGGGTAGGAATTATGGGAGACATTTCCAGGTTATCAGTATACACTTGTGTTCCAAGAGTAGATACATGTGGCCCTCAATAAATATTTTTGTTTCAGTCTTTGTAGAGCATTTAGCAGTGAATGAAAAAGAATTATTTTTAACTGGTTATTTAACACAATGTAAAGAAGTTTGAATCCCTCGGAGGTGATGTTTTTTATTTTATCAAATTATAATTACTTCAAGAAGACAAAAATGACTTCTAAGAATCAGCCTAATAGGTTAATCAATGAGCCCAATAATAAGTACAACAGGTATGAAATCTAAGTTTTTTTCAAGTAATATTATGTTCCTATTTGATAATCGTTGCTATTTTAACATTTCAGTGTTAATGACCGCCAATGCTAACTGTAGCCTCTCTAATGATGTATGAGGCTATAGTATGCAATTTCAGTATCCTGTGTCACATCATTTTTTAAGGAATTAAAATAAAATGATTTCTTTGGGTGGCAGTAAAATATTTCACCAAGGCTGATAGCACATTATTTTCCGTTCTATAGAGTAACAGAAGCTCTATCCAATAAACTTTTGGCAGTGTCGTGGCATTTTTTATGGGTGATTTAACGATGGCACAGTTTTATATATGTGATTAGTCACAGACAATGTCCAGTGTAATGTAATTCAATAAGAGAATGGCATGTGACAATAAAAGAGCTCTGTGCAAATTGTCTTCATTAAATACTATTTTAATGGTTCAAATATTGGCAGGATTACTCTTATCTTAAAGCACGGAAATTTTTTTGACACCAAAGTGTTGCTGTCAAAGAAAAGTCAGAAACCGTTTTCTGCAAAGGATTTTGCAAGTCCTCTATTCTCAATCACAATTTGCCAATTCTGCCACTGCAGCATGAAGCCTGTCATAGACAATAAGTAAATAAATGTGTCTGTATATCAATAAAACTTCGTGAGCCATGAAATTTGAATTTCTTGTTGTCTTAATGTGTTGATTAGACCTCAAAATTGTCTACATTGTTATCAACCATTTAAGTTCTTCAATTTCTCCCAACTATTTAAAAATGTGAAAATCATTGTAATTGTTTTTATCTCATCGATTATTAGAGAAGCCAAACAATTGGCTATATTTAGCTCATGCAGTGTAGGAAGACATTGTGACCTTAGAACCTCAGCGAGCACAGGATTGCAATTGATTGGATGTTATTTTTATGATAACAACCAAATGGATACCTTTTGTATAACTGATTGGATATCATTTGTATGAGTTGAGTGAACAGCATGTGAATGAGAACACTTGGTAGCATATACAAAACAAAAGGAGTTCCAAACAAGAGTATAGAAACAGTTGATGGGTTTTGTTGATAAGCTCCATAATTCCTCCCTTATCCCATATGACCCTCAGAGTATAAAATCTGATTGTCACTAATAAACTTTGGCTATTGACCATGAGTCAGAGTCCAAGTGTATTATTATTGGCTCCGTGCACCAAGTCCGTTGCTGTGGGACAGTGACAATGCAGTTCGCTAATTCCTTATTCTAAATAATCCTAATGCAACACACCTTTTGTCTTATTTTATAGCCAATGCTGGAATTTAAGCAGATTGTACACTAATGATTTGTACTGTTTCTTCTATTCTGAATCCTGACAGATGCTAGAAGATAGAGACATCCACATTGAAATGTTATGTAGCAAAGATATAGATTTGTTTGCAAAAATGAAATATTGGAGCTCTTACTTATAGCCACTAGCATTATGCAGACCATTACAACAGTAAAATTTTGACCCAACACCTGCAGTGTACAAATACTTCCTGATAAACAGAACCTGAATTTATCTATCCTTTCTTTCGAAATTGGGAATGGTAATGTTATTGTGGGTTCTGCAATAAAAGAGTGCCAAACTATTGGTCCTAGTGTGATGTTCTTTGGCCATTTTTTGTTAAAAAATATTTTATTCCTATCGCTTCTGGGCCTTTTGGCTAAGATCAAGTGTAAAAATTTATTCCTGTGGGTTCAGTTTTTATATGAATCACAAAAAAATGTGGATTCCAATCAAAATCTTTTTCTCAGAAATTTCTCCAACTTCCTCCAGGTTTAGTGTTAGAAAGGAATTGCTTATCATGTCACTGGTCACCATGCTTAAGGTCTCTAACTATTGACTTCTTGCTTTTTAGATTAGACCCCAGTCTGTCATTTGGTTGACATGCAGATATAATTTCTGCCCTCATCCCCAGGGTCACTTTGACAGTACTGCTACTTAGTTTTGTTCATTAGACTCACTAGTCTGCATTTAATCCCTGGATTTTTGCATATGTTGTTCTCTAGTTGACTTCTACTCTTCCTTCAAAGATCTTAATCTCTTTTAATCAGAGCTAACTAGTGCATCATACCACCTTACACGTTTTCTTGTGGCATTTATTAAAATGTGATGCTACCATCAACAAATAAATGTTTAACTGTATAGTCTTTAAATTTCATGAAGATTTGAAAACACCTTTTTGCTGGTTTGAGTCTAAACAAAACAATAGTGTTTATAGAATAGGTTACCAATTTTTATTGATCACTGTTAGTCATCAGAGAAATGAAACTCTAAACTATGGTGAGATATCACCTCATATTTGTTAGAAAGATTATCATGAAGAGGAAAGACATGTATTGGCGAGGATTTTGAAGAAACAGAACCTTTATATACTTTTCATGGGAGAGCAAATTAGTATACATGTATGGAAAACGATACAGATTTCCCTCAAAATTTAAAATGGTACTACTATGTGGTCCTGTAATCTTACTTCTCTGCATATACCAAAATGAAATAACTATATCAAAAGCCATCTGGGCTTTTGTGATAATTGTAGCATTATTTATAAAACATTCAAGATATGGAGCCAATCTATTCCACCAATGGATAAATGGCTGAGTAAATACATATATCTATTCATATATATATATGAAGATATATATATATATATCTTCAGTGAAATAATATTAATAGTAATAATTTTCATCCTTGAGAATAATTAAAATTTTACTCATTGCAACAACATGATGATAGGCCTTCAGTTCATTAAAATAGCTAAATATGGAAAGATAAGTATTACAGGAGCTGAACAAATCCAACTCATAGAAAGGGAGAGTTAAATCATGGTTTTCAGAAAGTGAGAAGCAGACAGACTGAGATGTTTGTCAAAGGATGTGAATGTTCTATTGAACATGAGGAATAAGTTCAAGGGTAAGGTTGTTTTTACTGATTACTTAACATCATTATTCTACCATTTTGAGTCAGTTAATAAACAATTATATTGTGTGATAATTCCTTTATTAACCACTTCTTTTTAATTACCATTAAGACAGAATCTGATTACAAATTGATATACATGGTCCTCATTGTGACCTATATGAATTCAAAGTGTGAAACAGGATATATTACTGTAGCAAAAACAGATAAAACGTGTCTATTCAACAACCACTAAAGCCACAGCTGAAAATTAAATCTAGGAGTCTGATGTGTAAACTCATATATAATATATACAAAGTGAACTATTTCTAGTTTCTGGATCAGGAACTCTATAACTTTTCCTATGAAAAATATTAGCACTTAAATGCTCAAATCTATTTTTTCTCTTAGTATTTCTAAAAACTGATAGGATTGGTGTATACATGGAGGATATTACTTCTTCCTTCATTTTTCTATTTATCTTCCAGTAATAATGAATATAAGCAACTACATCCTTTTGCATTGTTAGCAGTTGTTTGGATGAAGATGAATTCAAATCCACAAATGAAAAGTTTTATAATTTATGTTCAGATATAATTATTATAACTATATATTTATATGTGTGCAAATGCAGATACATGTTTCTTAACTAACTTATATTTTAATATACTAGTTTTTTAAAGTTAGTAGTATTACAAATATTTCAAAAATAGTCAAAGATGAAATAAACGGAGACAATATAAAAAATGCAACAAAAGATGAAATTATATTTTATTTCCAAAGACTATATTCATAAAAACTCTAGAAACTAAGACTCACTAATGAAGAACCATGCTGGGCCAGAAGCAGTGAAAAAGATCATTAATGAAAGTTACTGAGTCTTCACAGGAAATCAAGAAGTGAGTAGGAAAAGAGATCATAAAAGAAAAACGGAGATATCTGACATTTATTCAGCAATTGCACATTAAGCTAATATTAAAGTATTCTACTGTAATTATTTTATTATTTACTCCTCACACCAAACTTTCCTGGTATTAGTTATTTCAAACAATGGAAATAAACTTCAGAATGCTTAGGTTAATTTGGCACTCACTCATTATCTAATATTTAGTAAAATTGGAACAGACATTGTAGTTCGTTGTGCTCACCAAGCTCGCATTTCCCCAAGTGATAAACAACTATTGGACCTATGCTTTTACCTTTCATTAACGGAAGAATGAGAATGATTCCATTTCCATTTCAGACGATACATAAACCAATCTTGTGACTAGAAAGAACGTGTGGAAAATTCAGGTTCTTGTTTTCTTTATTGTCCTTAGTCGCAAACTTGCCCTTGAAGAGACAAATGGCAAACGTTTGTTCGCTCGCATCCTTTGTACAATCCTGTTTACAGTGGTTTTTTGGGGGGAAGGGGCACACATGTTCCAAGAATTTCCTTAAAATCATTTTGCTACATGCTTCATTTGTTTATTCACACCCTCTCCTTTGGGTGGCAGTCAACTTCTCTGTATCCCACTCCTTGGTAATCTAATGATGTGAATGACATCCACATAATGTCATTACTTCACCTTTGGTTGTGGAGATTATCTTTGTTTTAATGGAAGTCATTCATGGTTGTTCTTTTATAGATTGTGAAGAATTTTTAAATTTATTTGATACAGTCTGTAAAAAAAATGCTATTGGCTTGCTTTTCATCTCAAAGACTGATAGGCACTCAACAACAAAATCCATACCACCAACTTTGGATTAAAATTGTGTTCAGAGCTTCAGAGGCAATTGGATTATTCAGAAGTTAAAAATGTGAAATATCACTTTATATTGAGCTCTATTTTGGCAGCATCATATCTCATGTAGATGTTGTTAACCATACAGATTAAAGATATTATTTACATATGCTAGTTTGATATTATCATTAGAAGTAAGCTTAAATCATAGTTTCTTTGAGTTATACTACTTAATCTTTAAATCTAATTATTTTCTTCATTATATTTTAAATTATTTTATTTATATGAAGTGAATCAATTTCATATATTTCTTTTTTTATTTCATTTTATGACATAGTTTCATAGGCTCTGGGATTCCCCCAACCCCTCCAAAAAGCCCTCCCTCCATGTTGGAGTCCTCCATATTGTTAGTAGCATAGTGATATTTCCCATCCTACCCCCTCCTAACTGCATTCCCCACCCACACTCCTCCTTCATTTTTCACCTTCATTTTCACAATGACAAATTTTAGTTTAATTTACATTCAAAGGCTTCACTCCAATGAACAAAGGATTCAGGTTGAGTAAAACCCATTGGTCCTCAAGTGTACAAATGCTGTAAACATTAATCAAATCTCAATAGGTCAGTTTTGTTCACATAGATAACATTTTTGTATTTCGTTTTTAAATCACCAAAGAATAGAGAAAATATGTAATATTTGTCTTTTAGGGACTGGCCTTTTCCAGTAAGCATAATGATTTTCTGTTACATCTTTTTTTTATTGCTGAGAAACATTCCATAGTGTACATATATACATATATCCATCATGGACATCAAATTTGAGTGCATATCTTAGCTATTGTGAATTAGACTGCAATAAACATGATGGCACAAATATCTGCTTCATATACTAGGTTCATTTCACTGGTATCAATCCCCAGGAGTGGAATTGCTGGTCATAATGTAGATTTATTTTCAGATCTCTAAAGAATCTTCATATTGTCCTTCCTGATGTGCTACTTCATATTCCCACCAGCAGTGGGTTTGGATAGCTTCCCCACGTCCTCATTGGTTTTCACTGTCTTTTGCTTTTAGGCTAATAACCATGCTAGCAGAGTGAGGTAAAACATCATTGTGGTTCTTACGTTATTTCTCTGATGGTTTGTAATCCTGAGGGTTTTTTTAACATGGATGTTGGTCATTTGAATTCCATCCTTTGAAAATCATTTGTTCATGTTCTTGACCCATCTCTAAGCTGGATTGTTTTGTTGTTGAGTTCCATGAGCTCTGTATAGATCATGGAAATTAATTCTCTGACAGTTGCGTAACGTGTAAATGTTTATTCTCCGTTTGTTCCCTCTCCATTGTGTTGGTATTTTTGATGATATGAAGTTTCTTAGCTTGATATAATCCCCTTTGTTTAATTTACTCTGTCACGCAGTGTTTCTGGGTTCTTATCAAAGAGGTCTCTACATATGCTCATATCTAGCAGAATTTTCTTGATGCTTTTCTTTTGTAATTTTTTTGATACTAGACCCTATATTTAGATTCTTGATCTATTTAGAGTTGATTTTGTATAATATTCCAGGTGTAATTTTATTCTGCTATGTATATAGATTCGGTTTTCCCACCACCATACATCAGAGACTGTCATTTCTCCCTGGATTGATTTGAGTGCACTAGTTAAATATTAGTTTGGCATAGATGTGTAGATTCACTTAAGGGATTTCTATTGTGTTCTATTGATCTTCATATCTATTTTTGTAGCAGTGCCAGACTGTTTTGATTACAGTTGCCCTATAGTATATTTTGAAATCTGATAACATTGCACCTCCAACTTTGTGTTTGTTGTTTAAGATTGCTTAAGTTATTTAGTTTCCTGTGTTTCCAAATGAGTTTTAGCATCACGTTGTCTAGATTTGAGAATAAAGTAATGGATATTATGCTTGGGAACCACACTGCAAATGTAAATTATTTAAGGTAGTCTGGGATATTTTGATGATGTTAATTCTACTAATACACAATCCTAGAACATTTTTCCCGTTTTTTTGTATTTTTTTTTCTTGATGTTTTAAAATTTTCATCATAGAGATCTCTCAAATTCTTGGTTATATTTAATTTGCTATAGTTATATACCTTGGTAGTTATTTTGAATGGTTCTGATCTCACAAGTTCTTCCTCACCCATGGAACTGTTTCTATATACAGATGTTATTGATATATGTGTGTTGATTTTATGTAGTGCATCTTTGTCAGAATCTCTGGCAACTCGAAAAAGTCTCAGTATTATTCTTTGTTTCCCTGTGAAAGAATAAAGACATTTGCCAACTGAATTTTAAAATAATTACCAATAGCAATATAATGAAGAAAATACACTAGGAGAAATCACAAGATGGTGGTAATGTTTTTTTTTTAAAGATTTATTTTTATTATTTTTTGATTGGAAAGGTGGATATACAGAGAGGAGAGACAGAGAGGAAGATCTTCCGTCCAATGATTCACTCCCCAAGTGAGCGCAACGGGCCGATACTATGCCGATCCGAAGCCAGGAGACTCTTCTGGGTCTCCCACTCGGGTGCAGGGTCCCAAAGCTTTGGGCCGTGCTCGACTGCTTTCCAGGGCCACAGGCAGGGAGCTGGAAGGGAAGTGGGGCTGCCGGGATTAGAACCGGCGCCCATATGGGATCCCGGGCATGCTAGGCGAGGACCTTAACCACTTGCGCCATGGCGCCGGGCCCGGTGGTAATGTTTTACCTAAACTTGTTTGAAGAACAATCTTTTGGGAGTAAAATAAAGACCAAAAATGTTGATTTTGTTGAATTGAAATTAACTATATTATTATTTTATATATCTAAGAGACTTGGCAACAGAGAAAACTCCATCTGCTTCCGACTCCCTCAATGCGCACACAAAAAGAGTGTGCCAGACCAAAGCCAGAGATTCAACCCAAGTCCCCCAAATGTTTGGATGCAACTCAACCACTCTGTTGCCTCCCAGGTTTTGTGGTGATGGAAAACCTGCCAGATTCAAGAGTGGCTTTGGGTATTTTTCTCAGCTAGTCCAAAATGACAAGCATGTACTACTAAATTAAATTTCTGGTCTTACAATTGACCTTCATGGAAAGTAAAAATGGTTTCTTACTCAGTAAGTTATCCCATCAAAGATTTTAGAGATCAAATTTTCTGTCTCAATATTGACTTCTTTGGTTTCACTTTTTTCACTCAACACGTTTCTGAAAATTTGTGTGTAAATAAATACAACTAAACATATACATACATGGTGTGCACAATAGTAGTTAATTTTAAAAGAAGTGGCAGGGAACATTGGCATAATGTAGCCAAAAGCTACTCTCTTCCTGTTCTTCCAAATACGAAGTCATATCTATGCATATTTTTATTTGTTCCTTTTCTCCTTTCATTATAATACAGATTCGTCCTATTTTTCTGAATGCATCACACTCTCATAATGATTAAAAATTTATTCCTTTCTCTCCTTCCCAATTATCCACATTTCTTTTAGCTCTACAGGTGTTGCCACCTGTGCATATAATAGACTTAAATCTGTTTCAACAAATCCTACTGTAGCTGTTGGGGGTCTATAGTTTCCTCTTCTTTTATCCACAAATTTTATTGAATGGGCACCCTTGCTATTCCTACTTATTTACTGCTATGAAAACAATTCTGCCTGAATCATTGATAGCCACTATCTTTCTCAAACAAATTGACAGCTTGTTCTTTTATCTTTTGGGTTTCTTTAATGCCTTTAGCCAACGTTTCTTTTTGTAACTCATTTTTTTCTACATGCTTGTATTAATGCTTTCTCTTAGTTTACAATATCATCTTATCATCCTTCCAAAGTTTAGACAGCTGCCTCTTGTCCTACAGACTGTTAGCACTTTTTAAGGCTATATCCCCAACCTTCTACTAACCTCCATATATAATTTCTGCTGGAACAAACTCACACTCAAAGATGTAGTCACAAATTGTGCATTAAAGCCCACAGTTGTGTATTTCTGAGATTGATCACTCCAATGATACAAACTTGATGCCAGACATCTTAACTCTTCCATACTAATTTTATAGTCACCATGACCAAAACTCTCCTCAATGTTTTTGATGATCCATTATTGCTAATGTACCTTATGTTAGCTTGTTGAAAGCTCAATGATCCTGCCAAAGCTATCTTTCATCTCTAAATCTCAATTTTCTCACATGTTGATAGGTTTTCATAGGAATTTAATGTCATGCACCACATAATACACAACTGTAAATGCTAACTATACAGAAGGTACACCATGGGAAGCTGAATTGTGAAGTCCTCCTTAGTTCAAGGGCTAGAGAACACAGTAAGTAAAATGTGTGAAATAAATTGCTCATCATTACTGAGCTAATTTGTGATCAAGCATGATTTGAGTGATGTTTGGGTCCAGAACCTGAGCTCTTCATTGCTGTCAGGGCATGACAATACCATACAGAAAAGCA